AACCAAGAGGAGTACATGGGAATCTTGTAGAAGTGTTTTGACTACACTCAAAATATGTCCATTCTTCCTTTCTACTACCCCATTTTGTTGTGGGGTGCCTGGATAAGATTTTTTGGACTGAATTCCATGTTGTTTTAAGTTTGGAAATCCCTATCAAAATACTCTACCCCTGAATCCATTTGCAACACACATCCGAGCATCAAATTGGGTAGTAACAAAAGAATAAAGTGCTTAAATACAGAGTAAACTTCAGATTTCTTTCGAAGAAAATAAAGCCAAGTGAAACGGGTGTAGTCATCAATAAAGGCACACAAAGCCGCTTGTGCAACAAGGAAGTGGAAGGAGATGGGAATTTTACAATTCAAAAAAAGACACAATCTCAAGGAAAACTACATTACGGGAGATTCGAATACATCAGACCGAAAGATCATAGCAAAGGAATCCTTTATGTTCATAATTATACCCCATAAAGGTACACAAAGCCACTTGTGTAGTTAACTTTGTACGTTCATGAGGTGGAAGGTGAACAAAACAAGCACAACCAAAAACCCTGAGCATAGATAAATCTAGAGGTTTGTGGAAGAAAGATTGGAAAGGAGAATAATTATTTAAAATAGACAGAGGAAGACGATTTATGAGATACACTGCACTGCTGGCTGCCTCCACCCAAAACCAAGAGGGGTACATGGGAATCTTGTAGAAGTGTTCTGACTACACTCAAAATATGTCAATTCTTCCTTTCTGCTACCCCATTTTGTTGTGGGGTGTCTGGATAAGATTTCTAGGACTGAATTCCATGTTGTTTTAAGTTTGGAAATCCCCATCAAAATACTCTACCCCTGAATCTGTTCGCAGCACACATCCGAGCATCAAATTGGGTAGTAACATAAGCATAAAGTGCTTAAATACAGAGTAAACTTCATATTTCTTTCGAAAAAAATAAAGCCAAGTGAAACGGGTGCAATCATTAATAAAGGTTACAAAATACTTATAACTAGGGGTGAGCAAAAAAAACCGGAAAACTGAACTGACCAAGAAAACTGACCGAAACCGAACCAAAAAATCGGTTAACCGAACCGACCGGTTCGATTTCGGTTAACCTTATAAAATACCGGAAATTAACCGAACCGACCAGTATATATACAATAATATATATATAATATATTATATATTATATTTTTATTTTGATTTTTTAAAATTAAATACACATGGGCGTGCGTGCTTGTGGCCTGTCCCCCTTTTCAGGTTTCAACTTTCCTAGTTTCCCACTTTCCCACTTTTAAAGTTAATTTTAAATGGTCAAAATTTCCAGCTTTTCCCTTTCCCAAGTCCCAATGCACACTCGCCGAGGTTGAGTGAATCTAGGTGCACAAAACACACTCGCCTTTTCAGTTTTGAAGTTTTCAGTTTTCCCCTTCTTTGCTTCTTTGAAAATCAAAACCTATTATTATCAGATATTCAAATGTAGTAGTCATTAAGCCCTCTCAATCTTCAAAAATCAAAGCTTGAAGGTCCTAAACCATTTTCTCAGTTTGGTAGTTTCCCCTTTCTCACTCTCTCGGTCTTGCCTCTTCATCTTCCCCAATCCGGCAATCCCCAGTTATTCCTCCGATGCCGGTCATCACCAGTAGTTTTTCCTTGTGTCTCTTTCTCTCTCTCTCTAAGTCTCTATTGCAGTGTTGCCTGTCATCTTCGTCTCCGCCGCGCCAACATGCAACATCAGTCGCCGCCTCAACTCCGCCAGAACCGCCACCTCCCAGGCTCTATGCCTTTATCTTTGTCTCTCTCATCTCTCATCTTTGCGGCTCCGCCACCTCTCAGGCTTTCACTTCAGGTGACAACAACCACCAACCAGTCCAGCACCAACAAATCATCAGCCACCACTTCGCCCTCGCCGACTCGCCCCTCTGCCATGATTTGCTTGTTCATTTTTTTTTGAACTTTGAGTGAAAAAACAAACCACAGTTAACCAGTCCACCAATTAACCGATTACATTGATTCGGTTTCAGTTCAAATTAAAAAAAAACGATCAAATCGGTTCGGTTCAAATAACTGAACCGTGAGCACCCCTACTTATAACCCAGCTATGAAACAACAGAAGACAACCAAACATCACTATGTATTAAATGAAAAGGAATTGTAACATGCTCAGAGTGAGAAGGAAAAGGTAAAGTATGACTGTTACATAAACCATAAGCAATGCAATATTTATTAACATTCTTAAAGGAAATAGCAGAAACAAGTAAACTACCAAAAACAAATAACTGATCAAGTTTCTTAGAAAACGGATGGCCAAAGCATTTACGCCACAAATGCCGATCATTATTACAATTAAATGACTCAAAACCAGAAGTAGTAGAAAGCAAACAAGAAGTAGAAACGGGTGCAGCCTTATTCTTCTCAAACTCCAAAGCAAATAATCGTCCTAGTCTATGCCCCTTCCCCTTCACCTCCCCAGTTTGTCGATCTTGTATCAAACAACCATCAAAAGTGAATGAGACAATGTTACCTTCCTCTACAACTTGGCCAACAGAAAGCAAATTGGTGGTGAGCTTGGATACAAATAAAGTTTTGGATAAATGAAACGGAGATGACTTCGAAGTAGATAAATACAAATCATCACATCCAAGTATATCTAACTTTTCACCATTAGTAGTGACAATGTGTTTATTGGGAAGATGGGGTTTGGAATACTGACCGATTGTGGCCCCTGTCATATGGTTAGAGGCTCCTTAGTCAATATACTAGAGGTGATTTGATGAGGGACAATAGGTTGGTGAGTTATCAGACAAACCAATAGAAGAAAAGGATAAGGAGATGCCCGAGGACATGAGCTGTCAAATCCGTTCTTCAAACATATCACCAGAAGTGTCATTTTGGCCAACCACAGAAGTAATGGAGGATGAGGCATTTGATCCATTTATAGCAATCTTATAGGCCTTGTAGCTTTCTTTTTTCTGATTTGATCCACCGCTTTTCTAAGGCCGAATAAGGCATTCAATAATGATATGGCAAACTGCTTGCAATAAGTGCATGTATTCTTTTTCTTGCAATGGAAGACAACGTGCCCAAACTCCTTACATTCATAGCACTGTACTTTAGACAAGTCCTTCCCCTTTGGTTTTGTTGCTAAAAAGACAATATCAATGTTGGAATCTTTTATCCCATCCGGAGTAGTCTATGTAGCAAATCTGGTTTCAGCTCTCAAAATTTCCCCAAGAATAGTATCTAAGTCGGGAAGTGTCCCTCGGCTCAGGATACTAGATCTGACAACTTCAAACTCATGCCTGAGATGCATTAGAAAATGCATAATCTTCCTTCTATCAAAGTGTTCTTTCATATACTTCACACAACATTCTGATGGATCTTTTCCCATGTAAACTAACTCATACTCTATCCAGAGGTTAATAAACCCTGCATAATATTCCTAGACCTTCCTTTCTCCTTGATAGTATGAGAAGATGTCAACCTCTATCTAGTACTGTCTAGAGGTGTTTGATTGCTGATATACTTTCTCAAGATACTCATACATCTCATAGGTAGTCTTGTATCCTCTCATAGGGATTGCAATGTCAGTTTCAACTGATCCTAGGATCCATGATGTGATTTTCACATTATCATTCTTCCACTGATCAAGACCCCTAATATCTAAATCATCAGGCTTAGGTACTGCTCCATCCAAATATCCCCAAAGACCTTTTGCCTCAACATGAAATTAAAAATTAAACTTCCATAGTGCATAGTTCGTACGATTAAACTTAATAAGGAGAAATTCCATCCTTTCTAATGCCATTGAATCACAAGAGATAGAAAACCACCCTTCCAAGCAAAAGATAGGGTTCAAATCAGAAGAAAGAAAGAGGTACCTTTCGGTCGATATCCAGAAAAGGAAATTGTAAGAGTCTGGTGAACTCATAAGTGGCTCAAAACCCTTCTAAATCAAATCCAATCCAATCCAAACCAATTAGAATAAGTAGATCTGCTCTGGGTGACACCAGATCTAAAGTTTCAACCTGATCCAATGTCTCTACAAGAATATCCAATAAAAAAAAGAAATTTGATGGCACTACAGTCCAGAAAAAATGTCTATAGAGTTCTGATCAAAAGCTTCCCTAGATGAGGGATTCAAGGGCACTTGAGAGTCTCCCAAATACTGTTAGGGAGTACTCTAGATAGCAGAAAAGAAAAGGGTTGAAAAGAGGTTATATGCAGATCAAATCGTGACCTGCTTTGATACCATGCCAGAGTCGGATCAAAAAGACAGAGAGAGAAGAGAACACAACAAATTGATAGGTGTCACTTGGTGACTGTCAACACCCTAAAAGAGATTTATATTAAAGAAAGTAAAAGCACAAATCTGCCCTTAGTGTACAAAAGAAAGAGTACATAAAATAAATGTACAACAAAAGAAGTAAAAGTGCAAAAATAGCCCTACAACTAGATCTTTCTCACTGTCTCTGCATGATATCACATGTTTTAAACTCCCACTACTATTGATTGTAAAGTATTTCTTCATATAAACTATTAAAGTGTGCATTTCTTATGGGTTTGTACCTTAGGCTTAGTTTGGAAGGAGTACAAATACAAATCTGTATAGTGCAAATATATACAAAATAATACAAAATACAAGGTTTTGCACTCTACAAATTTGTATTTGTACTCCTTCCAAACTGAGCCTTACTCAGTAACCTCAACCTTAGGTTCAGTTTTGATGATGTATTTGTGGGATTTGCAAAAGTTTTCTCAACATATCTAAGCATATCCATATCTTTCCAAAAACATACCATGATACATATCCATGTCCAAGCTTGCCAATACAATACACAATACTAATATTTTGAACCTTGATGACCAATAAGCTAACAATTTGTTGATCAAAAAACCATAAGAATTTAGCTCCTAACTTCCATGTAAACAGAGCCTGAACTTGTTGATTCATAATTAGTTTATGGGTGTGACTTTGAGATATAGATGTGAAGTGTATAATTTGTGCAAATCTCAACCATAAAAGTTATAAATGATTTTCATAACGCCTTAAATAAGCAATTCTCAAGTAAGAAAAAGCATTCATTTATCGAACCTATAAAACTTAGTTGAAACCTCAACTTCTAGTGGCCAGTTGTACAAGGGAGATTTTCATTGTGTTTGTGTTTGATCATTGCCCAAAAGCTCATCTACACAAAATTTATGAAGGTCTGCAAACATTTCCTTCCATTTTTGTACCATTTCCAATGATCTTTTGCAGTCAAGCTTCAATCTATCCACCTCCATTCCAGTGGCAGCAGAACTCTGTTGCTGAAGAAAATACCAGGAAAGAAATGTTAGGGCCAGGATTTTATATCATCAGAGGATAAACACTAACCGTATTATAGAAAAATACCACTAGTTTATGCTAGTGATTATACAAATGAGACAATAACACAAACAATAAATGCTAGGCTTTTGGCCAAGGTATAAATTATTGGAAGAAACAGTAGATATCGGGGATAATAGAATAACAAAATATAATAAGAGTAGACAATGATCTTTGTTCAAACTTCTACAAGGCCAACTCGTGGTAGAATCAAGTGATCAGAAAAAAACGAGCATAGCATACATGTGGAGTATCACATTTTATGTTCATCATCAGAAACCTTTTAGTAATTCAGGATTGGTTAAACATTATTCTTGAGGGCAAAGGAAATATAGTTTAGAAAATTACATCCTTTTTTTTCTGTCCTTTCTGGATATTTGGAAGAGACCAGAATAGAACAATTAAAAACGAAATACAACCACTTCTACGAATATGTAGAAACATTCATACATCATTCAAAGAGTTTATAGAGATGTATAGGATGGATGTCAAAAATCACCAGGATGTGATTAATGTAATATTGATGTCACTTCATATATTTATTTGCTAGGTATCAGGGGCATCCCTCCCCAACCCGACAAACTAGATGATCTTTATGTACTATTGTAAAGCATGCACTTCATGTACTTCTTTCCAGAACTTTTCCTGATAAAGCAGATCCCTTCTTTCATTTCTTTTGTAGTCACTTGTATTTACATAGGTTAATAAAATAACACTGTCACTTGAAGGTACCAATAAGTTTTCTGGCTGGTTCCAGTGAAGACTTGGATCAATTAATGCCCTCACCTGGATTGGGGGATTACTGGTATGGGGGTAAGCTCTATATGAGCCTCCCCTCCCCGCAAGACGCACAGACACAAAGGGGAGAAAAAGCAGAAATGTTGCTACCACAAACTACTGCTTGAATTTCCAGGATAGAAAATTTTCTAAGCAGTAAGCACCATATGCTATAGTGGTCAAAGGCATCACCTAGGCAACAAGAGATCCTTGGTGTGGCACTTAGCCTGAATGCCAGAACTTGTTCCAAAAAAAGGTTTCCTTCTAGGTGACAGAGAACTTGCTTAAGCCAATAAGAAAATCACAAAGATGACATCTCATCACAATATTATTGATAGGGAAAGTCTATGATGCGGAAACGATATGGTACAGAAAGAGTTTTGACCAATCAAAACCCACCCATGAATTTTGATAAATAACACCTGATTGGCTACCAAGTTTATAATTCCAGTTGATTGGTCAGACGTTTTTTGGATATCATATCTTTTCCATATCACAGTCGACCCCTTATTGATATAATCACATCTTATTAATGTGTGTTAGTAATATCATATATTGCTCATGTTTTACTTTAGGGTTGTACCATTTAAACATATAAAATCTAGGGGTCTTCAGAAAGGAGAAAGAAAGAAAACCTGAACTCCAATTATTATAAAACTACCTTGATCCTGACAAGATTTCTGTGTATCACTCTTGCTGTTAAAACATCGCCTAGGTGATTGACTCACCTGGATAGGATCCTAATCAGATGCATATGTACCAGTGCCTGGGTAGTCAGATTTACTAATCCCATGCATATGCTGTAAAAGTCCTTGTATGATGCAACACCAATTTATCATTATACAACAATTTTTTTTTTTTTTTGATCAATAACTCTGAAAATTTTCATTAATTAAGAAGCTTTAATATACAACAAGAAGTTACAAAGAAATCAGCATAAAAGCTGACCCAAGACAGAATTACTAAAGTGCCCAAAACATATCTGTTCTTTGAACCCCTTGCTTTGCTAAGCTATCARCCAAGCTGTTGGCTGATCTCCTAACCCAACCCACCTGAATAGACATATTTCTATACATCCATTTGAACCTTCTGAAATCATTCTTCAGCTGCCAGGTCACTCCTTCCCCTTTGTGCAACCATTTTATCACAGTTTTTGAGTCTCCCTCGATGATCAGTCTATTAATCCCCAGCTCTTTGGCCTTCTCAACCCCATATACTGCAGCTAGAAACTCTGCCCTAGCTACATCACCCTCCTCCACAGGATCGGAGAACAAAGCAATAATGGAGCCATTTTCATTTCTAATGGCCCCCCAATACCTGAAGGGCCTGGGTTACCCACACAACTCCCATTGAAATTCAACTTCATCCAACCCTCTGTTGGAGGGGACCAGGTTTCACAAATCTGTCGCCTCATAGTTGATGAAGCAGCAATAAGTCCCCAAACCCTAAAGAAGTCTTCAACTTTAAAATCTGAGAACTGCTTTAAACTTTTTACCCAATGTGCCACCCTCAATGTTATTGTTTCCACAAGAGCTTCCTTGCATTTTTCCTTACTTTCAAATATTCTATCATTTCTTTCCTCCCAAATGGTCCAAAGTATTGCTGCTCTAGTGCACCTCCAGAGAATCCTTCCCCTCCTTGTCTTACCACTGCAACCATTAGGATTGAATAAACCTTCCAACCGGTTAGGAGAAGACACCTGCACCCAAAAAGAGAAACAAACCAATTCCAAATAAAGATGACAAAGGGGCAAGATCAAAAAAAGGTGGATAGCAGTCTCACCATTCAACTTACACAGGACACACCAGTTAGGGGACAAGCACGCATTTGGCCTTTTCCTTTGAAGTACATCAAAGGTTTTAATACAACCATGAAAGACTTCCCAACAAAAAGCACTGATTTTAGGGGGAATAGGATGGCACCGAATTTCTTTGACTGGAAACTGAAGAGAAGACTGTGTGGCAACCATCGAATGAAAAAAGGATTTACAAGAAAAAAAATCCATCAAGATTAGGACCCCAAATTCTAGAATTTGACCCACCTTCCCCCAAGAAAACCGAATTCAGCAAACCTAACAACTCAGAGACTGCAAGCAGTTCAGACTCTCTAAGATTCCTATTAAAACCAAGGTTCCAATTCAATCTTGGCAAGTGAGAATGATGGTTTAGGAAATCAGAAATAGGCTTTCCTTTGAACCTAAACAGATCACAAAGAGAAGGAAATTTCTCCCCTAAAGGAGTATCCCCAATCCACAAATCCTCCCAGAATCTGATTTTACTACCAGAATACAAATCATACCTAATAAGATTAAGGAACATAGGGAGGACATCATGAATAGCCTTCCAGAGTGCAGCCAAGTTAACCCTACGTAGACAGCCAGCATCCCATCCGTTGCACGACCTGCCATGAATGCTTGCAACCACTTTGTGCCATGATTTCTCATTTTCATTTGGAAACCTCCAAAGCCATTTGCCCAGCAAAGCCTGATTCTTCATTCTAACATTACCGATTCCCAAACCCCCTACCTCTTTAAATTTACTCACCTTCTCCCATCTAACCAAATAATCCTTCTTTTTTTCCCCTGGCTCCCATAGAAAATCCCTCATGATTTTTTCAACTTTCCTCACTATCCTTTTTGGCATCCTAAACACTGACATATAGTACAATGGGAGATTTGCTAAAGTGGATTTAATTAGGGTTATTCTCCACCCCCCCCAATGAAATATAATTTATTTTCCACGCCACCAATCTTTTCTCTATCCTTTCCACCACCGGAGACCAAAAACTAGCAGATCTAGGATTATCTCCAAGGGGTAAACCCAAGTATTTCATTGGCCACTCACCTTCCTCACAACCTAGAGAGCTTGCCAGAAATCTCACATCATCTTCTTCAATGTTGACTCCAACCATTAAGCTCTTTGACCAATTAATCCTCAAATTAGACATCTTCTCAAAGAGATTCACAACCACCCTCAAATTTTCCACTCCCTCCCTACTTCCTCCATCACAGAACATAAGAATATCATCTGCAAACTATAAATGACTTACTAAAACATTGTCCCTCCCCACTAACCATCCCCTAAATAACTGCACCCCATTTGTTATTGAAATCAATTTACTTAATGCTTCAGCAATCAGGGTAAAATGAAAAGGAGAGAGGGGGTCACCTTGCCGAAGCCCACGGAATCCTTCAAAAAAATCATACACTGTCCCATTAACTATAACTAAAAAATGACAAGTTCGTAGGCATCCCATGATCCATTTACACCACAAGTTTCCAAACCCACATCTCCTCATAATTTCAATCAAGAATTTCCAATCCATTAAGTCATAGGCTTTTTCCAGATCCAACTTAATTTCCAATCAAGAATTTCCAAACCCACATTTTATGAGCCTCCACACATTCATTTGCAATTAATATTTGGTCAATAATCTGTCTATCCTGCACAAAAGCCCCTTGAGCTTGAAAAACTAAATGGGAGATCACCATTTTAATCCTCAAAGACAGCACCTTTGCAATCACCTTGTAAATACTGGTGACCAAACTTATTGCTCTGAAATCCCCTGGTTGGTTGGCATTAGTCTTTTTTGGGATCAAAGCTAAAAAAGTAGAATTCACTCTCGGACTTATCACCCCTCTCCTATAGAACTCATTAAACACCCTGACCAAGTCTCCTTTAATTATCTCCCAACAATCTTGATAGAAAACCATTGTGTAACCGTCAGGTCCTGGAGATTTTGATCTGTCCATAGAAAAAACTGCCTCCTTAATCTCTCCCTTTGCAAACCTTTTTTTCCAAAAATTGGACTTGATTCTCATCTAGAATCTCCCAATCAAAGCCTTCAATCCTCCACCTCTCACTTAGGTGTCTTCTATAAATTGACCTAAAATGCTCTGCAAAAGTTTTAGCAATCTCATCTTGATTTGTGATCTCATTTTCCCCCACCACTAAGGAGTTAATCATGCACTTCCTTCTCCTTCCGTTTGCGATGGTATGGAAAAATTTTGCATTTCCATCACTTTCTTTGATCCATCTTTCTCTTGACTTCTGCTTCCAGCAAATTTCCTCTCTCAATAAGGTCTCCCCTAGCTCTTTCCTCAAATTCCACCTCAACTCCTTATCACCAACATCTAAAATTCCTTCCACCTCTTTGCTATCTATTG